ACCCTGGCTGAGCCTCCTGGGAATTTCCTGTCCTGGTGGCAACACTGGTGGAGCCGGAGGGCACCTGGAGTCTGAGACCCCCCCAGCCCATGGTAACATGTCTGAACCAAGACATCTCACAAGACATCTCTGAGATCAGAGACAAGGAGCAGGAGACAGAACCCTGTCCTTCCCCATCCCCCACCCCACCCCACCTCCATGCGCAGCGTGCGCTGCCTCCCTGCCTGTGCTCTTTGTCTTCCTTTATCTCCATCTCTCAGCCGCCCTCAGCCTTCCTTCTTTTCTGCCTCCGCCTGGGTCGCCATGACTCCACAGGTGGGGTCTGTCCTGGTGCTTTTCTCTCTGGGTCTTTTTTTTTCCCTGGCCTCTTTCTAACCAAAATCTCCTCTTCCCTTCCTGCCTAATTTCTCTTTTTTGCTCTCCCTCTGCATCTGTCTTTGGATTTCTCAGCATCCTTTGCACTTCCCGCTGGGCCTGTGCACGCATGTGCCCCTGCACCTGTGTACAGCAGGTAGGCTCTGCCTCTTTACATTGGCTGCCTAGGAGCTCACAACATCCGTGATGGTAAGGGAGTGAGATCAAAGCAGGAGGGAATTCGTTTAAAAACACGTGGATTCGTCTTCGCCTTAGACTGGAGCTGCCAGGCAGGCAAGGCCGTTTATTCGAGGTTGCTGAGGGAGGCTGGTCTGCTTTCCCAGTCTGTCTGTGGCCAGGCCCCTCCCCCGCCACTCCTATGCATTTCTGTTTGGCACTGGTTTTATTTCCTGGAAGCAGGGTGCTGGTGCAGAGATGGGATGGCAACTTTGCCCCCAGTTCCAGTGCAGGACCTGCTCACAGGTGGCAGAAGGCCCAGCCACCAGGATCTTGAAGGCATGTGTGTGTCCTCGGATTTGTGTATATCCCGGTTAGGCCACTGGCACTGGCTCTTGGTGCCTTCTTGACGCTCAAAGACACAGCCCGTATCTCCTTTTTGGTTGTAATGCCCCCAGGACACCTCTGCCTTTCGGGGTTGTGTCCTGTCTGGTGCCTACATCTCACTGCTCACTTTTTGGACTTTTTCCTCAGCCATCCCCATATGTCCTCGTCACCCACCTTCATCACTGCATCAGAACCTTCCAGAGCTCTGTTGCCCCCACCCAGCCTAATTCTACTCCCTCTTTCAGGGCGCCTCCTGACTGCAAGCCCTGTACCAGCACTGTCCCACCTCTTGCTGCAGAGGGAACCCTTCCTCCCCCTCCACTCTCCTGCTCTGTGTCTGCCTCTGCTAAGTCTGTGAGCCTCACCTGAGGCCAGGGGTGCTCTGCCTCCTTCCCTTGATGGCAGTTTCACAAGGCAAGGCTGTTAACTTCAAGGATTTGCTCACCCTCACTCCATCAATCAATAGACTTACTCAGAACACCTGCTGTGTCTGTCCTTGGCAGCCAGGCCCCGTGCTAGGTGATGGGGCTGGAGCTCCGAGTGACACAGTCCAGATGCAAGTCCCCCCCGGGGCAGGGAGGGGGTGGGCAGTGCAGGGTGGACCTTCTACGTAGCAGGGGTGAGATGTGCGTGTAGAGGCCTGTGAGGGCATGCAGGTCAGTCATAGAAGACTTCACAGAGGAGGTAACGATTGGAATCCCCAGGGAGGAGAGAGAGCAGTGTCCCACCAAGGGAAAGGCCTGTGCAAGAGCATGAAGTGGTGACAAAAGTGGAGTGTGCAGAGTAGGGGGAATGGGACTTGCTGATCAGGCTTTCTCCTGATCATGAGCCAAGTCAGGACAACCCATGTGCATCTGGACTCTGTCTCAGATACTGTCTTGGCTGCAGGGGCTGTTCTGGGGCCAGGAAACATTGCCTGCGACATTTGTAGGCTCAGGATCTAGAATGCCTTTCAAGTGAATTAAATTCCCTAGACCCTTCATTTCCCATCCTCTCTGGACGCTCTTTTCAGGGTCACTGCCTCCATTCCCCTGTCTCCTGACTAAGCTGCTTCAAACAGGCTTAAACCAAGAGAGTATTTTACTTGAAAATCCTGAGGACGACAGATAACCTCCTTTGTCATGTCACTGCTCAGGTTTCTGGCAGTCCCTCTACTTATCTAACTGCCCAGAATAGAGAAGGGGCATAGTTACCATTTAGTGGGCACATGCAAGGGAATGCACCAGGTATGTCATATGCTTTATCCCATTCAATTTTCACAACACTCCAGGAGGCAGGTGTTTGCATCCCCCAGTTTGCCAATGAGGAAAACGAGTTAAGTGGCAAGGTCACATGGTTAGGAGGCCGCAGAGGCACTATGCTAACCTGTCTGTCTCCTAGACCTGTGCTCTTAAAAAGGGACTTTTAGTCCAGACTTCTCACTGTACCAGTGAACAAATGGAGGCTGGGATAGGGAGTGACACGCCCAAGGTCACACCACTCCTCCCTTTGGCAATATCCCCGTCTCTCTGGCTCTGACCCCAAGGACATCCCACCTCTCTCCTGCTGCAAGGTCAGCTGCATCCTCACACCAGTGGACAAGGAGCTAGCTTCTTACTGTCCTCTGGAGACTTCAGTGGGAGATCAGGGTTCCCAGTCCCCACACAGGAAAGCCATGAATATAAATTCCATCTCTGAGCCAGGGATCACAGGCCACCCCACTTCCAAGCCCTTGACTTGGGCTCTGGGGGCCCTAGAAAGGAGAAACAGGAGTGTGGAGGGTTTGCAGCATGAAGCTGCACTAGAGAAATGCGCAATGATATGAATAAATTTGAATAATAATGAGGGCAATGCCTGAATTAATAATGCTGGCTATTCACCTGACCCCCCCCCCCTGGAAATATGGGTGAGCCTATCCTTTGCTTTTTTAGAAGACATGGATGAGATGTCAGGTCATCATAGTTAGGTTGCTGCTCACAGAGTGTGGGGGAGGAGCCCTGTTTCTGCAGACCCAAAGAGCTAGATTTACACACTTAACAAAAAAAGGCTGCCACTTTGTATTAAATCATATGCTGGCCATCAGTCCACTCCTGGCCCAGCCCCATCTCCCTTGATCCTCTTTATGTGCAGCAACCAATGTGGATGTCAGATGTGTCAGGAGATGCAGAGAAAAGAGCATGGCCCTTGGCCTTGAGCAGAGGTTACTGTTCTGGTGGACAAGATAGGACAAATGCCCCACTCACCAGCTGCCCTCTACCCCATGATAAACAGAAGCATGGGCACAGACTCTCTGAGAGCATGGGACAGGAAATCCCGTGGATAGAGCTGTGACAGCAGGACTGAATGATGGGACAAGCTATGTTTGCCCAAGGAGCTAAGGGAGCAAACTAGGAGGACTTCCTGGAAGAGAGGAATGTGGAGCAGGTTTGCAAAGCAGGGGAGACATGAAGCTGGAGGCGGAGAAGGAAGAAGGGAAGGCATGAGACTAGGGCTCTGTCTCTGATACCTTAGAGGGAGGTTTCGGAATGGGGAGGGACACGTTCCGTCTGCTTACTCACACACAAAGTGCTGGAGGATCCGAGAAATTTTGGAAAGCTCAGTTTGGAAACAGTTGGACTTGGGGATTGTGGTCTTTACAGAACTGAAAGGGGCAAGAAGGGGAAGGAGTCCCCTGAGTTCTGGGGAAGGCTGATTTTGGTTACAGTGGGTGACAGATTGGGGACGTGGGTAGGAAGCCCCAGACCTCTTTTTTTGCTGTCCCACAGCCCCTCCATCTTTTGTCTTCTTCCCCACAGCCAGACACAGGAAGCTAAGGCACTGCTCTTAGAGCTGTGCACAGTGCCCAGGTCTGCCCCCCACCGGGCAACCAGGCTGGCTGGAGTGTGTGGGTTGGAGCAGTGTGGGAGAAGAAATCGCCATCCAATTCCCTGCTCCATTTAGGCTCCACAATTAAAGGCAATTACTCTGCAGTTCTCTAATCAAATGCTCCCGGCCGAGCTGCCAGCCGGGCAGCCATGTGTGGCTCCCACAGCCAGAGGGAACAAAGTCACGTGACCTCTCAGCTCCTACAATGCAGGAGGCCAAGCGTGTTCAGGATGTCCCTGTGTGTGCACTCGTGCCCCCGGCCTGTGGGATCCGGGGTTAAACACACGGAACAGCGCGAGTATGCCATGAAGTAGCTTCAGAGCCACTTTGTTTTGGATACACGGCCACCCAAGCAGTTCATACACACACACACACACACACACACACACACACACACACACACACACACACACACACGTGGACACTCCTGCCCCCTAGAAGCTGCCCTTATGCACTCGCTGGATGCATTCATAGGGAATTCTACCTGGCATAGTTGCACACGTGGGTGACTTCATGTTGGCTCACACGACACATGTCCGAGTAGAGGTACGGTGGTATATTCATGTCTCAAAGATTGAGGGGAACTGTGCCATCATGAGCAGTATTTATTTGTTATGAAGTTCCTAGAAGAGAGGAATGTGCTTTACACATACTTTGCTCCAGCCCCTCTCCTGCCCGCTGCTCAGGCAATGTCTGCTCAGAGACCAAAAACTCATTTTAATATCAGCCTGATCATTTTTTATTCATTCAATAAGCCTTTATTAAGCACTAGAGCCAGTGCTGAAGCAAACTGAGAAGGGGGGAGGTGGTAGGGGAAGAACCCAGGACCTAGACTGCCAAGGCTCAGATTCGAATCCCAGCTCTGCCCTTAACTCACTGGCTGTCCTTGGGTAAGTCAGTCATCTCCCCAGACCTCAGTGTCCTCCTCTGTAAAAGGAAAGGGTTTGACTAGCCTAGTCCCTAAGGCCATTATATAGCACTGCGCCACTTTCTAAGTACTTTGGCTCCTGAAAGCATTTCCATGGGCCATGGAGGGAGAGAGGAATCAAGGGTGAGCATGTGACACCTCGGAGGGAAGGGGTTCGGGCTGGAGTAGGGCAGGGACTGGAGGACCCACCTGCCCCGTCTTCATCTCTCTCTCTCGCCAGCCTGATGCAGCGTGGGAGCAAGTGCCTGGGAAGGGTAGCCTCTCTCCTCATGCGTCTCCTTACCCAGTGCTGGTTTTGGCTTTTTGCCAGGGACCCAGACCCGCTTCAGCCAGGAGCCAGCTGACCAGACTGTGGTGGCGGGACAGCGGGCCGTGCTCCCCTGTGTGCTGCTCAACTACTCGGGAATCGTGCAATGGACCAAGGACGGGCTGGCGCTGGGCATGGGCCAGGGACTCAAAGGTGAGTGGGGCCACCCAGCCAGCCTAGCATCCAAACGATCCCATCTTTGCGACACTACCCCCCAGCCCACCCGAACAGACTCCTGGACCCAGCCTCTCTTAGTTCCACATCTCACCGCATCCCTTCCCTTTTCTCCAGCCCCTCCCCTCCCGTACGTGGGGGTCAGGCTCTCTCCCTGTCCTCCTGAGCTCTGTCTCCACTGCTGTCCAAACTCCGCAGCTCTGCCTTTCCTCCAGCCTGTGGGCTCACTCAAAAAAGGCAACGGGAAGCCTGACGACGGATCAAAGAAAACCAAGGGATCTTTATGTAAAAGAGCTTCAGACAGACAGTCACCAGGAGAGCTGCGGCTGCAGACAGAGGTGAAGGAGGAGGTGTGGGAGACAGAGTCCCCTGCAGAGCAGGGGGGAGACAGGAAACTTCCTTGTCCCATGAATGTTTCATGCCAGGCTGGCTTTGCTCCAGCTTCTCTCCTGCCCCCTGTCCAGGCGATGTCTGCTCAGAGGCCAAAAACTCATTTTAATATCAGCCTGAGCGCTTTTTAATTTATTCATTCAACAAGCCTTTATTAGGCACTATGGAGCCAACATAATGAGTTGGTAAATAAACAAACAAATAAACCAAAAAACCAACCTATTATCCAAAGAAAGGGAAGATACTTTTGGAAAGGTTGCCAGGCAGCCCGGATGAAGACTCGAGAAACCTGGTACTAGTCCCTGCCTCTGCCACCGACCAGCTGGGTGAGCTTAAAAAAGCCACTTCACCTCTCTGGGCCTTAGCTGACCACTGTGTAAAACAGTGCAATGGTCACAGGCCTGCCTGCCTTGTAAGTGAGTTTTGAACCACATGAGAGAATATGCTTTGTGAAAACCCATTGTTCACGGTAAAGCAGAGGAAGGATAAAAGTGTAGGAGGGACTGTATGTTTTTATTCTTATTGTTGATTATTTGCTGTGGGTTCCACGTACAGGACTAGTCGGGAAATTTGTGTGTATAGAGCAATCTGTATAAAGGAAAAGAGATGGGTCTGGGAGATCTATTGATAATAGAAACAGAAAGAAACAGGGAGAGAGAAAGAGATCAATAGATATGGAGTGAGAAGAATCAATAGCCTCTGGACAGTAGGAGATAATGGGAGGGAGCTGATGGTGGGGAACTGGAGAGGGGAGGGCAAGGGAGACTGAATCGCGGAGGGCCAGAGGCTGAGTCCCATCTGCCACAGCCCTCGCTTCTGCAGCTAACACGACTCTCTAGTTTAGGGGCTCCTTCAGGGAGCTGGGTCTCATCCAGCTCTCCCTTGCCCAGTGAGGGCAAGGCCTTGGGCTTCCCTGTAGTACCTGGTGAGCTGATGTCTGCGCTGCAATGCCCTGTGTTTCCCAGCACCCACTACCTCCTCCTCTCTCCCTCTCCTTTCTCCCTGCTGCCTGCCTTATTTTTTTTTCCTCTTTCATTCCTATTATTATGAGAGACATTTGTCTGCAAACAGCTTCGGAGATTTCATCTGCTCCTGCTCATCCCCTGCTTCTGCTCTCCACCCCCACCCCGCCCCCCTCCTACAGTGTTATGGCTCCCAACCTTGCTGTGGGAGGTTGTGGCATCACAGTGTCTGGTTCTGGGACCTCATCCTCATCAACTGGGATGGGGTCCCTGGAGAGGGCAGAGGGAGGCGTGCTGGCGTGGAATGAGAGGCAGACCCACGCGTGGGCGTGAGAAGTGGGCGGAGGGTGTGCACAGTCCTTCAGGCTGGCTTCCGGGTTGGGACAGGGCTCACGCTGGGCTCCCCCGTTTCTGTTCCTGCAGCCTGGCCGCGGTACCGGGTCATGGGCTCTGCAGACGCCGGGCAGTACAACCTGGAGATCACAGACGCGGAGCTCTCTGACGATGCCTCTTACGAATGTCAGGCCACGGAGGCTGCCCTGCGCTCCCGGAGGGCAAAACTCACCGTGCTCAGTAATAGCCCCCAACTTCCCTCAGGGCTCTCAGCCCACTCCTCCTGTCTCTTTCTCGTGGCATCCTGGCAATCCTTCCCCTTCTTCAGTTACCTCTTTCATTTTCTACTTCTCCCTCTCTGTTCCTGGCCTCATGCCTGCCTTCACTGTCCCTCTGTCTCCCTAGCGTTCCCTCCCCAACTCCTTTTAACTTCTTCTGAAGCCAGGTCCAGATTGAAGAAAGCAAAATGGAGATGTGGGCAGCCACTGGCAGGACATGTGGGGTAGGTGAGGCCTGGCATCCTGTGCCCACGCCACTAAAGGACTGGCTCTGCCTTCTGGACATAAAGCTGTCCCCACCAGAGCAGAAGCGTCTTGGCGTGACAGCGACCCAGCTCTCGCTTTCACAGCCCCTCTGGGCAGACAGGCTTGTGGTGAGGGAGCTTCTCCCTTTCTCTCTCCCACTCCGCTGCCTCAGAGCCCCAGAAACTGCCCCTTTTCCTCTTTTTCCTCCTCACTCAGCCCTTCCTCCCCTTTGCTGCTTCCTTTCTGCCCTCAGCGCTCACCCTTTCTCCTCATTCACCTGGAGGCCTTCTCAGGGAACAGGGGAGCAGGACTGGAAGGAACGGGCTGAGAGCAAAGGCCTGGGGCGGTGGGGTTCCTGCTGCATCTGGATGGGCCCTGGAGGAGAACATATCTCTCAGCCGCTGCCCAAGGGGCACAGAGCATGTGGGCAGGATGTCCCTCTGTGGTAACACCCAAAGCTATTTGCATAATGAGGGGGCTCTCCTGCACACTGTACAGGAATGAGGCCTGCTCTGACACGCCCCCGCCTCTGCCGGGCCTCTTGCTGGACCTCTGGCTCCATCAGTCTTTCTGTCTCCCTCAAGCTCGTGGGCTCTCCCTGGGCCTCGCCTCTGTTTTGCTTCTGTCTCTGGCTCTGTCTGCCTGTGACCCTCTCTCTTTACTTTTGTTATCAACTCTATCCCTCTCTTTTTTCCTGCTTCTATTTGATCTGTACTGCTGCCTCTCTTTTTCCTCCCTTAACCAGAAATCGTTGAAATGGGGGAAACCCCCAGGAGGATGGGAGGAAGGAGAGATGCACTGAGATGAGTGAACTTGGACACAAGGAATTTGTTTACCTGGGCAGGGGAACGTGACAAGTCTTCCAAGTGTGGCAGGAAGAGGCCTGGACTGGGAGTCAGGAGACCTGGGCCATGGTTGCACCCCAGAGTCTGAGGAGGTCATGACCTCTGGACATTAGTTTTCTTGTCTGTAACAACATAATGACTCCAGCTTTTTCTTTCTTCTTTTAAAGATTTTATTGGGGAATTGGGGATGGGAACAGTGTTGGGGAATTGGGGAAGGGAACATTGTGTTTTTCCAGGATTTATCAACTCCAAGTCAAGTTGTTGTCCTTCAGTCTTAGTTGTAGAGGGCGCTGCTCAGCTCCAAGTCCCATTGCCACTTTCAATCTAGTTGCGGGGTAGGGGGGGCACAGCCTACCATCCCATGCAGGAATCAAACCAGCAAACTTGTTAAGAACATGCGCTCTCACCAGCTGAGCCATCCGGCTGCCCATTGGCAGCTCAGCAGCAGCTCAGCTTGGGCACAGTTCACTGGCCCATGTGGGAATTGAACCAGTGACCCTGTTGCTCAGAGCTCACACTCTAACCAACCGAGCCACCTGGCCGGCCCGGACACCAGCTTTTTCTTAACAACTTTCACTTTGTTGCCCCCTATGCAAGGAGTTGTAAAACTGTGACGGTCTGGCAAATGTGAGGTGTCAGAATAAGTAAGGACTGGAGGGACCCCACAGCCAATTATTGAATGTAAAGGCCTAAGGACTAGGACTCAGGGCAGGTGGATGACTTGCTTTTCCTCTCTGGTGAGGACAGAATGGGAAGAATTAACAAGGAGCAGGATTGAGGTTAGGGAGCAGGAGTTAATTGACCACCAGGAATGGGCATGGGAAGACAAGACATCATCTTCCATCCCTTGTTGGAGTGTATGTGAGCTCCATGCTGGACCAGGCATTCTACAGGGACCATGAGATTCTTAGGAGACCTCTCTTTTTTCTCTTCCCAACTGCCTCTGTTTTGGGTGCTAGAAGGTGCTACTTCTGCCCTGGAGAACTCCCATCCTAATGAGGAGGCCCTGATAACCTTCCTTTCCCTCTCCCACCCAAGCACAGAGACAGAAATAAAGAGAAATGAAGAAAGGCCAACCAAGCCCCTAGGTATTGCAGGAACAGGGCTTATGATGGTGTCCAGTGGCTTGATTCAATCAAGGAAGGCTTCCTGGAAGAGAAGAATATAAATGGGAACCATAGTTGGAAGAGTACCTTTTTAAAAAGCTTGCAAGTCAATAGGGAGAGCCACATCAGTGGGGGAGCTGACTGTCTTGTTTCGACTGCACGGTTGGTGTTAAGGGTGTGGGCCTTTGTAGCCTATTTGGGCAGATGAGGGGAGCAAGGAAAGTCCCCCAAAATAAAAGAGATGAAAGATTAGTCTGACCGTTTCTTTCCCTTCCTTGTCTCTCTTGAATTCTCAAACTACCTGCAACCTGCAGCCTTAAGGACACAATAATGAGGCAGGACATTTGTCACATCTTCCTCTGCTTACCTTCGTACACACAAGTTTTGCTCATGGTAGTCTGGGGCCCACTCACTGGGCAGGGCAGAGTCAAGAGTGGGCTGTGCCCAGTGCTCAGTATCTGTCCAGTGCCCAGTTAGCCTTCCTGTACACAGCCAACCTCGTCAGCTCCCCCCACCAGCAGCCATATCCCTCCAACACCGCCCACACCCCAGGCTAGCCTTCTTCACAGAATGGCTTTCCATTATTCCTGCAGCAGGGCTTTGAGAAGCTGCCTCCCACCCCCCTGAAGACACAGACACAGATATAATATAGATCTACAGACGTGCAGCTCACTCATTATTCACGGTGATAACAACTCGAGTGCAGCAGTGAGGAGCATAGTCCTGGTCCACCTCCCAGCCCTGCCATTGAACTTACTCTCCTGTCTCTGAGCATATTTGCCTAATCTCCCTGAGGCTCAGTACCTTATCCATAAATTGGGGTTAATGGTATTTACCATGAAAGGATTGATGAAATATACTTGATGATAAGGATTAAGTGACAGTGTATACACAAGACACTTTGGCTGACACTTGGTGAGCCTTCAATGAGTGGCAGAAATATTGTCTATCGTGTTACAGTTTACACATGTCTTTACATCGTGGATTTTACTTCCCCTTCACAATAACAACCCTGGGGAATGGGTGTTAATGTTCTTTTTGAAATTTTACAAACAAGGAAACTGAGGCCACAGACACATGTACATATCGATATGCAAATTGGTCACAAACCCTAAAGCTTTGTTCATGGACATACACGTGGAAACATGCTGTCGAACTGATGGCTGAGCGGACACCTCATCGGCCTAGTTTCCTTTGCCCCAAATGTGGAGAGAAATGTGGGCTGGTGACCGAGGTGACAGATGGACCGTCTTTCCCTGAACAAAGGGAAAAGGCCAAGCTCACGCAGGAAGGGAGAGCTAATGGGAGGAGAAGCCTGCCCATAGGAGGGATTCCTCGTATCTGGATATGGTATCCCTCCATCCTCCCCACCCCCTGCTAAAAGCACAAGCGGAGGCTCTCCAGGACTTCCTCCTGGGTGTGTCAGCAAGGCATGACCTTGAGGGTCCCAGATGGACCAGGAGACACTGACTGGCAGCTCTTCATCCACGTCTTTCTACCTTTCTCTCCTTCCCACCCCATTTCCAAATCTGCACCCATCTGGCCCTGGCGCCAGGTGCACCAGTGAGCAAAGAGGAGAGCCAGGGATTCAGTGGATGATTCACTAGCCAGGAGCTGGAGACACTGCTGGCTCTTGTCCAAGTACTAAAGCAAACACATTCCACACGTCACCCGTGCCCTACACATTACAGTCCATATACGATGCCTCATCTGACCTTCATGAGGGCCCCGTAGGCAGGCACTTTTATGTCTCTGTTGAAGAAACCGACTCAGTGACTTGAGAGACTCAGCCAACATCACATGACAGGTAAATAAAGGTGCCAGGATTTATAAAACCAGGGCAGCCTAATTCTAAATGTCATGCTTTTCTCACTCTACAACTCTGCATGCACAAGTGGAGCAGAACGATGGGACAGGCTACAAGTCATTTCTTTCTCCTATAAACCCCAGAGTAGAGACCATCATTTCATAAACTTTAGGACATCCCTGCCCACCATTGTACTCCATTGGCCTCCCAGAGTCCACTCTGAAGAGTTCCCTTGGAGAGCCCCCTCTGAGTCTTTCCCAGCCAAAACCAACAAAACCCTTATTTCTAGCCTGATGAACACTTAAGTAGACCAGAAAGATTATAATCAAAATTTGTCTGCCTTTATCTCATTAGTCATTTATTCAGTAATTCAGTTAATATCACCAAGGACATGTTCACCACCAAGTGCTGAGCTAGTCACTGGGGCTTTAAGAGGAAATAAGCACCCTCTGCCCTCAGGGAACTTACAGTCTGATTCAAGTGAGCATTTAGAAGTCTGTTGGGATAGGACAAGGAGAGGCCTCCTGATTTCCTAGTAGCAGACATCTGCAATTCAATTCCTTCAGTACATTGCAAGAGCCTACTTTGGCCATGTTCTGGGCACTGGAGACTGTAAATATTAGTGAGGCAGGGTCCCTGCTTTTCCAGGAATCAGGGTTCGGGAGCAGGGGGCGGGGGGGGGGGGGGGGGGGGGAGATGTGGATAATCACCTTAAGTAACCCAAACATGAGGTACATGGCGTGAGGAGCTCTGAGTGACTTGCCAGGACCACTGAGGTGGTGGTTTGGAGCGGGGCGGGGCGTGGCATGGAAGGCCCTTGTGCAGCAACTGGGATGCGAACAGGATGGGTAGCAAGCACTTCAACAGAAGCCCTGAGGGAAAGGAGTAGAAGCGAAGATGAGGTGGTGAGAGGGCAGGACTTGGCCTGAGGAGCCCTAACTAGCAGGCTGAGGTGCTTGGAACTCATGCGCATGGCAGTTGGTAGCCATTGAAGGTGTTGGAACAGGGTAGTAGCACAGTCTTAGCTGTGCTATAAAGAAAATAACCTGCCAGCAGTGATGGGTGAGTTGGAGCCAGCAGGCACTGGAGTCAGAGAGTCCATTTGCGCAGCTGCTGTAATGGACCCACTCACCTGGCTGCGCTAGGGCAGAGCACAGGCAGGAGGGAATGGATGGCGGAAGCTCCACGGAGGTAGTTACCTTTCTGTGCCAGACCCTCCGAGGTAGGAGCTGCACTCAATCCCTGAGATAGCCTAGCCCTTTCCTAATTTGAGGCCACTCCCCTCATCTATATGTAACCTTAGCAATGGCAAGGGATGTCGTACCGGGATATGGTACAGGCTGTTGAGGGCCTTGGGTGACGCCCCCACGGGAGCACAGATCCACTGACTATATTAGGGGGTAAGGATGGCACCGCCCCCCAGGGGTGGGCATGCAGAGGGAAGCGAGCCTCCGGAGGCAGGGGTTTTGGTCATCAGGGTAGTGTTGTCTGAACCCTGGACTGACTCTCCTTTGCTCCGCCCCACAGTCCCCCCGGAAGACACCAAGATTGATGGAGGTCCTGTGCTCCTGCTGCAGGCAGGCACCCCCCACAACCTCACGTGCCGAGCCTTCAATGCCAAGCCTGCTGCCACCATCATCTGGTTCCGGGATGGGACACAGCAGGAGGGCGCTGTGGCCAGCACGGTGAGACCCTACCTGCTCCTCCAGCTCCTCTTGGGCCTCGTCCTAAATCACCTTTCCTTTCCCACATGGGTCTGACCACAGACTCGGGGGGCTGCAGATGTGAGAAGGGGTCTTACAGGTCATCTGGTCCGACCCTCTCACTATACAATTGGGAAGATTGACGCCCAAAAAAGAGAAGTGAATTCTCAGGTTCATGATACTATTCAGAGGCTGAATGGAGACCAAGAATAATAGTAATAATAGCTATGTTGATGAAGCACCTACTGTGTGCCAGGCACTAACTATGTATGCTAAGCTCTTTGTGGACAGTGTCTCTTAATCCTGACAGGAGTTTCATAAATTAGGTGTTATTTCCAACACACAATGAGGAAACTACTGATGGTCAGAGAAGTTGAGTGACTTGCCCCAGGTCACACAGCTGGCATGCGGAAGAGCTGGGGTTTGTACCTGGGTACAGGTACAGACTGTGCTCTCCCTGCTGAGCACTTCGACCTCCTTTCCTCATCCTCTAGTTGGCACCTTTTCTCAGTCAGCCCAGCTGGGGAAGCCGGGATCGTTGTGTACATTTCGTAGGTGAGGAACTATAGCAGAGAAAGACATCAAGCGACTTGCCCAGAATCACATGGCAAAGTTGACAGTGGAGCTGGAATCAGAATCCAGATCTCCTGTTTGGAGTTCTTCTGCCATCTGGGGGCTTTCAAACATATGTGTACCCAGCCCTTTGCTAGGTGCTGCAGGAGACACTTCTCATTGTGGGGAGATGTTTCTCCCCACAGTGTCGCTCACCTGTGTGCCTTAGAGGGCGGCCCCAGGGAGAACCTGGGTTAGCTCTGCCCTTGATGCCTTGGACCATTCACGTCTCTCTGGTCTTAGTTTCATCATTTGACAAATGAGAGTTTGGCTTCAGTGGTGCTTAAGTTTTCACCACTCTGTTATCTTTTCCTCTAAGATTACATGTATTGAAATACTTTGGCAAGCAAACAAGCTGATTTGTTAATGGTCACTTGTCATCCACCCCCCTTTTTTAATATTCCTTAAAGACCATGGTGCTGCAAAGCAGCAGGAGGGAGCCACTGTTACTGCACTGGGCTGATTCTGCTGTGGCCCAGGAGAGATATGTGTATTGCTGTCAAAGTGCAGGCCTTACTTTGGCTAATTATATGGTTTGTCTTAGGCAGTTTGCAATTAGGAAAACCACCCCAAGGTTCCTTTGACAATGGTTAGGGATCTCAGGTTGGATACCATGGAGCCAGTTAGAGACTGAGCCTGAGTCCTTTCCCTGCCCTCGAGGAGTTTATGGTCTAGCAGGAGAAACCCAAGGTTGGGAATATCCAGACATGGTGCCTAAGAGGCATGGCGGAATGTGCCTAGAGCCATGTGCAGGACAGACTGCCTGCGAGACAAGTTCAGGCTTCGAGAGAGTACTGAGGGCTGTGATGGCTAAGGAAGCCCTTGCAGAAGAGGAGGGACTTAAGCTGAATTCAGAGAATTCCAGGAATAAGGCTCAAAACCATGGGGAAAACTGCTACACACAGAGTGAACTCTAATGCAAACTATGGACTTCAGTTGGTAATAATGTATCAATATTGGTTCATCAGTTGTAACACATATCACACCAATGATTCATGTTAATGGAACTGTAGGGTAGGGTAGGAGGGCATATGGGCATTCTGTGTATTTTCTTACAATTTTTCTGTAAAGTTCAAACTTATCTAAAAAATAGTCTACTAACTAAAGCCAAAACCTGCGTAAGAGATTGGGTCTGGTGGAGGAGGCTGAACTTCAGGTTAAAGTGCTCCAGCACAAGCCCAGTTCAGAGTCGGGTCACCTTGAGATCAGAGGAGGGGGCTTTTAGTTTGACCATATCTCCCACCCTTGTCCCACCCCAGGAACTGCTGAAAGATGGGAAGAGGGAGACCACCATCAGCCAGCTGCTCATCAACCCCACAGACCTGGACATCGGGCGCGTCTTCACCTGCCGGAGCATGAACGAGGCCATCCCAAATGGCAAGGAGACTTCCATCGAACTCGACGTGCACCGTGAGCAGGGTCCTCGGGGGGAGCTGGAGGGGTGGGGTGGGGTGGGGAATGTGGGCACCCTTGGAGAAGCACAGAAAAATCCTCCAGGGGCCCCAGGACAGATGCTCACTTTCTTCATCCTGTGAAGATTCCTGAGTTTGACCTGTGGGCACTGAGGGCTGGTGAAGAGACCTCAGCTATGAGTTGGGCAGTTCCCGGGGCTAAACCAGTATGTGGCTTTGGGCAATGATTTAATCTCTCTGAGCCTCAGTTTCCAATGTTATATACGTGCAGAAAATAAATACAGGCATACAATCCCTTATCCAAAATTCTGAAGTAAAAGTGATTTAGTCACAAAACCTGACCCAAAGCTCTTTGTCATCTTTTCTGTAACCCACTTAATCTGAATAGTCGTACGTTTCACTGCAAAGGTATTAATATATGTTACTATGGGGTGTTGTAAGACACTGCTGGGGGTTTTACATAGTAAATGATCTATGCACACCATGTACCCTTCTAAAATTTGAAAAATTCCAAATTCTGAAACACATAGCTTCAGGGGTTTCAGATAAGGGATTGTGGGTGGACCGGTACCTGCTTCTCAGGATTGTCAGCATTAAATGAGATATAGCATAAGAGCATCTAGCGTGGAGTATGCAGGCTGGTCTGTGTTCAATCAACTACCTCTGTCTTGGGCAGGGTGGGAGTGTGGGCAGCAATTGGCAAGATACCGCACCCCCATCCCTTTTAGTGAGTCAAGCAGCAAGCCCACACTGGCGCCTAGTGGCCACCGTTGGCCATTACACCCACTGACTGATGTGTGCCTTCGATATCGTCCTCGGTAGTTCACCCTAAGACAGCCCTCCACCAAGGGTCGGCAAACTGCGGCTCGCGAGCCACATGCGGCTCTTTGGGTACTTCCCTCTCAAAAGTTGGCCGACCCCTGGAAGAGCCAATCCTGTTATTCACAACAATTTTAAAATTATTCGAGAGCCATAAATATATTTTTACATAATCACCATTATGTGAATAATATCCTTTAAGATTTTTATAAATGAAACTATGATAGTTTTATTTTCATTTTCAATTTTACTTCCGAGCCTGTGGCTCGGCTGGCAAGCCGCAGTTTGCTGACCCCTGGCCTAGAGGCTCCGTGGGGTAAAGGTGAGGAAGGCAGCTTGTCTATTGGAACTGGCACACTGCAAACTCAAATTCCCAGGTCCATCCCCACACAGTGGTGGTGTCGGAGTATGTGCTAGGGAGAGAAAAAGAAACAAGGTACAGTAAAGACCCTGACTTCCTGTCCCCTGTTTTGCAGACCCTCCTACGGTGACCCTGTCCATTGAGCCGCAGACTGTGCAGGAGGGTGAGCGTGTTGTCTTTACATGCCAGGCCACGGCCAACCCTGAGATCCTGGGCTACAGGTGCGAGGAGCAGGGGCTGGGAGCACTCTGGGGAGGGTAAGGGAGAGGCCCTTGAAGCCAGGAGCGGGCTGCTGGGGAGGGCAGTGCCACTGGATGGGGGTGACAGGGCTCCAAGTCCTGACCTCTCTGTGTTGCCTCCTCCCCCAGGTGGGCCAAAGGGGGCTTCTTGATTGAAGATGCCCATGAGAGTCGCTATGAGACAAATGTCGACTATTCCTTCTTCACGGAGCCTGTGTCCTGTGAGGTTCACAACAAAGTGGGCAGCACCAATGTCAGCACTTTAGTAAATGTCCACTGTGAGTAGCTGCAAGCACAGGGGCGTCAACAGAGCTGGGGTGGGGACATGGGGTGGGGGCAGAGGGCAGGGGCCTGTAAAGGTTCCGGGTGGAGCTCGAAAGGCTTCGTGAAGCTGAGGAGACGGGGAATAGACACGGGGAAGTGGCAGGTCAGGAAGAGGCCTATTGGAGCTGACCCCGATGACACTGAAACCCTAACAAGCTGCTCCCTTCTACCTCAGTTGCGCCCCGGATTGTAGTTGACCCCAAACCCACGACCACAGACATTGGCTCTGATGTGACCCTCACCTGTGTCTGGGTTGGGAATCCCCCCCTCACCCTTACCTGGACCAAAAAGGACTCGAATATGGTAAGACACTTGCTCCCTCTCCTGGGCGCTGGGAGGAATGGGCACAGCCACCAGTGCGGGAGGGGCACGGTCACCAGCGAGGGAAGGAGCAGAGGAGATGCGGCATTATTTTTAAAGTTGAACCTGGTATATTTCTAGGGTCTTAGGATTTGGAGGAGAAAGACAGTGTTTGCAGTCAACCCCCACCCTCCTTGCAGTACATCTGGCCGGTTCAGTGGCAGTGGGAGGGACACACTGACCTATGTGCAGGAAGAGGGCCTGAGTGGAGGTGCTGGGGTTGCGAACGATGTGGGGAATAAATGCTACATGGGAAGGCAGGGGAGCTGAAACGGGTCACGAGAGAAAGGAAGTTTGAATTCTTTAGCACTATGGAGACCTGCATGAGACAGTGTGGGCCAAAATTTCAGGAAGGATGTCAGAGTGAAATTTCCACTAGAGCAGATCATCCAAGGAGGCTTCATCCTCTGTGACATGACCACGGCCTTACCTGCCTTCTGGCCCACCCATCTCTGCCCACAGACTGTGTGCAGAGATAGTGTGTTTAAGTGCCAACCTGTTGAGAGTCAGGGGAGGGACCAGACAGACCTGGGACCCGGTTTCCCTCCTGGGAATTCACTTGTGGCCCTTCCTGCTTTCTTTCCCATGCCTCCCATGTGGGGCCCCCACGGACCTAGGGGCCCAGGTCTCCTGGCTCCCCACCCGAGGCTGCTCTCTCTGCCCAGGTCCTGAGTAACAGTAACCAGCTGCTGTTGAAGTCTGTGACGCAGGCAGATGCCGGCACCTACACCTGCCGGGCCATCGTGCCTCGGATCGGAGTGGCTGAGCGGGATGTGCCACTTTATGTCAACGGTGAGCATCTTGAGAGGGGCTGGGCCTGGGTGGGCAGGTCCTGTAGGATCCAGCTGACCCTGACTGCCTCTTCTGCTTGCAGGGCCCCCCATTATCTCCAGCGAGGCAGTGCAATATGCCGTGAGGGGTGACGGTGGCAAGGTGGAGTGTTTCATTGGCAGCACACCGCCCCCAGACCGCATTGTGAGTGCCGGGATTGGCCGAGGGCGCGAGCATGGCCAGCTGCCTCCTTCTCTCCTCTGCACTTTCTCTGTCTGTGCTCTTCCACATCTCTACTTCCAACCCTCCAACTTCCTGTCCTTCTGTCCCTTTCCTGCTCAAATGCCACCTCCCCACCTCCTTGTTGTGTGGCCCTGAGCAAATAACTTCAGTGGTTTTAACCTCAGTATTGTCGTCCATAAAACGGGTGCAGCCATCCCACCCTAACAGAGTTGCTGTGAGAAGTAATTGTGCCAGCAGGTGTGGAAGGCCCTGGGGAGCCGCTCGCGGGACTCCTTGTCAGTTCCCGTTGGCTGCCTTTCGTGCTCTCTCTTCTCCCTCATGCCCTTCCCTTTCCTCCTATCTTTCCCTTGCTCCCTCCTCTTCCCTCTTCCTCTCCTTCCCACCCCACCCACGCGTCACGCCCCTCCCTTCTGCCTTCCTTGTCAACCAGCTCCCTCACCCCGCCTCTCCCCTCTCTCCCACACCATGAGCCATTAATTCCATCCATGGCCATTTAATGACCATTTGGCGAGCTCCAGGGCTGCCCTGGGATACTTCATTACCGCGGCCGCCCGGGCAGCAGGTGGGTTGGCTCCCGGGGGCTTTGCTTGAAGAGCAGGGAGGGATGATCCTGGAAAGGTGCCAGTTCTTAGGCGCTCTCCACCCCTAGGGCTCCACTCAGAGGGCAGGGACACAAAGTGGGGGCTGCCCCCCGGGAGGCCAGGGGTGAAGGACCCCAGGACACCCCTCTCTGGTGATAAGTCCTCCCCATTATGAGAGTCCGTGGCTGGGTCTCCAGAGACAGCTGGGTGGGTTTATGTGGGGTCAGATCTGGGTTGGCTAAAGATAAGGTTGAAGATTGAATTATGTGCAAGAAAACTTGAGCTTTGTCTAGCCTGGTCCTCTCACTTTACAGATGAGGAAACTGAGGCCCGGAGAAGGGAAGGGAGGCCACACAGGGACTCAAGGGAGCGCCAGGCCTGGAGCCCAGTGTTCTTCACGCCCCTATTTTTCTATAACATGAGGGGTTCCCAAATGCCAGTTCATTGGATCAGCTGCACCCACATCACGTAGGATCCTTATAAAAATAGAGATTCCGGGACCTCTCCCCGGGAGATTTCTATTTAGGAGATAAGCCCCTGAGAATCGGCACTTTAAAGAATGTCTCTAGACATACCTGAATGTTCCTGACATATGTCTCAGTCATGTTTAGGAGCCACTGCTTCTCCTAGACTGGCGGTTCGATGCTAAGGTTTGAAGCAGCAGGTGTGACTTAGGTTTGTTGCAGGGTGAGTGTTGGGCTGGGCTTAGGGGTACACAGGGCACATGGGGTAAGGATACCTTGAAGGTGGGTCAGGTGTTCCTGCCATCTGCCCCTTCCTTACCCCCTCCTGCCCTTCCCACCCCAGGCATGGGCATGGAAAGAGAACTTCCTGGAGGTGGGGACTCTGGAACGCTATACGGTGGAGAGGACCAACTCAGGCAGTGGGGTGCTATCTACGCTCACCATCAACAACGTCATGGAGGCCGACTTTCAGACCCACTACAACTGCACTGCCTGGAACAGCTTTGGGCCAGGCACGGCCATCATCCAGCTGGAAGAGCGAGGTGACAGCAATGTTGGCTGGCAGCCGGGGCCAGGGCAGCCTGGGGATTCAGCTCCCTCTTTTCTCCCAGTGCCAGACCCTGAGGGAGACAACTCTATCTTGGGCCTCCCCACCAGAACCTGGCCTTGTTTCTCAGCTGGGGAAATCCACTCACTTTTAAATGTTTATTGAGCATCTGCTATGTGCCAGGCCCTGCGCTAGGGGCTGCAGAGACCAGTGTGAACAAGACATAGTCTCTGCCTTCAAGGAACGTTAGTTTAGTAGAGGAATTTACAGAGTGGCAGCAAACGACTTCAGATGGAGAGATGTCAAGTGGTCTGTGGAAGGGAATAACACTACCCGCATTATTGGGTAGGTGTGAGGATTACATGAGACAATCCTTATAAAATACCTGGCCTATAATAGGTACCCAGTAAGTTTTGGCTCTCCATCGCTTCAAGAATCCTTAGTCTGATAGGAGACACGTGTTCCCTCCCCTAAGGCACTTCTAGCATGACAAAAAGGGCATTACCTTTGACTTTTTGGGAAGCTTCCAAAAGCCTGAAGAGGGAAAAGGATTTTTTTTTTTAACTAGGCATTTGACATAGGAGATAGAGGGAAATAACTGGGGATCCACTTAGATCTGTCTTAGCTGAGGTTGCCAGCAAAGGAGTGGTATGGAAGAAGACAGTAGCTAGAGTAAGATGCTGCTCAGCAGGCAAAGCTTTCTGGAGGGGAAGAGCCTTACACAGATCTGATCCATCCAGAAAGGTCCTTCTCAGCTCTGGGGAGCAGGGGCAACCAAGGACTATTTAAGCCCTGGGTGGGTGGAGCAGAGATGGGGCAGGTGGTAAACGTGGTCAGAGTACACATGGCAAATTGAAGAGTTTGCAGACAGCTGACCTCAAACAAGAGCCCAGCCCAGGAAGGAGAGACCAAGCCTCACAGGAAGGTGGGCTGCAGGAGAGGGACACAGGGACCACCAAGGCCAGGGTCAAGTTGATGCCCCAACTGCCGGGATGAGATGTGACCCGCCCCCTTCCTCCATCTAGGTGAAGCTCAGGCCTAAACCCACACGCGATGCAGACCTTCCTCTCCAGTCCCCTTGACTTAAACCAACCCTGTACCCGATCCAGGGATGCTAGTGGAACTTGTGGCCAGCCTGGCCTTCAGCCAGCACTGAGCTCAAAACCCGAGGGTGGCTCCTTCCTTACCTCCTCCTTTTCTTCCTCACCTGAAGAAGTGTTACCTGTGGGCATCATCGCCGGGGCCACCATCGGCGCGGGCATCCTGCTCTCCTTCTTCTTCATCGCCTTGGTGTTCTTCCTCTACCGGCGCCGCAAAGGCAGTGAGTTTGGGCCCCATGGACCACAGCCCACTCCCACTGCTTCCAGGGCCACCAGTAGGCAGGGTCTCGGGGGTGGGGGGGAGCCTAGGAGGGTGGCATTTGCACTTCCTAGCCAAGGTGGGTCCAAAAACAGCCATGGTAGAGGCTGGCAGAAAGTATCCAATCTGCCTTTCCTTGACCCAGGTCGCAAAGACGTGACTCTGAGGAAACTGGACATCAAGGTGGAGACAGTGAACCGCGAGCCACTCACAGTACATTCTGAAAGGGAGGACGATACCTCCAGCATCTCCACAGCAACCCGGGTCATGAAAGCCATCTACTCGGTGAGGGTCCTGTCCCTCCCTGGCCCACCCCCCTCTTTACGCTCTTGGGACTGGCCCCACCCCAGCTCTCTAATAATCACTGTCACTCGCTTCTCCCTCAGTTGGCTTACCTTAGTCCTGCCAAATGCACACACGCACATGCTCACACAATCATACACGCATACACACGGACACACACGTGCACATGCACAAACACTCCAACTCGCTCCCAGGCTGGTTTCCCTCCAGCAGAGGATAGGCAGATGGGGCCCCCCCACAGGCTTTTGCCCCATCCTACCTCCACCCACTCCACAGAGTGTCAGAATTGGAAATCCCTAGAAGTTTTCTCATCCAACTGCCTCATTGCTGAGTCCCAGAGAGAGGCAGCAACATACCCAAGGTCACATTGTGTGTGAGTGACAAAATTGGTGCTAGATCCCAGGTCTCTGGCCTCTTCCCACTACATCCTAGAGCCTGCTGAGAGAAGATACAGAACTTGAGCCTGCCCGTGATCCCAGACCCTTCCTGTTAGTAGATGGCCTCTGGGGGTGGGGATGGGGTTGGCAGGGGGGGCAAGAGCAGGCCCTCCATCTCCTAATGCCACACAACTGCTGCTCTGCAGTCCTTTAAGGATGATGTGGACCTGAAGCAGGACCTGCGTTGTGACACCATCGACACCCGGGAGGAATATGAGATGAAGGTGGGAAAGTGGGAAGGGACCGAGGGCATGACGACTGGGTGGGAGCATAGGGTTCCGAGGGCCTGAGGGCGGAGGGGAGGGCAGTTTGGGGAGGGATGGTCAGGAGGTTTCTTGAAGGAGCAGAGGAGGTGGTGAGATATTGACAGGGGACACTGGGCAGAGCCTAAGGAGGAGGCCTCAGGGCCATGGCGAGTTTTGTCCCCCCACAAGAGGGAGCGCCCTCCTCCATCATCTTCTCTCATTGCCCCCAGGATCCCACCAATGGCTACTACAATGTGCGTGCCCACGAAGACCGCCCATCTTCCAGGGCAGTACTCTATGCTGATTACCGTGCCCCTGGTCCTGCCCGCTTCGATGGCCGCCCCTCTTCCCGTCTCTCTCACTCCAGCGGCTATGCCCAGCTGAACACCTACAGCCGGGCCGCAGCTTCCGACTATGGCCCTGAGCCCACAGCCCCTGGCCCTGCTACCACAGCTGGCACCGACACAACCAGCCAGCTATCCTACGAGAACTATGAGAAGTTCAGTTCCCATCCCTTCCCCGGGGCAGCGGGGTACCCCACCTACCGACTGGGCTACCCCCAGGCCCCGCCCTCTGGCCTGGAGCGGACCCCATTCGAGGCGTATGACCCCATTGGCAAGTACACCACTGCCACTCGGTTCTCCTATACGTCCCAGCACTCAGACTATGGCCAGCGATTCCAGCAGCGCATGCAGACGCACGTGTAGGAGCCAGAACCTAGCTGGGGCATCTCTGCGGGGCAGAGGAGAAACTGTTCCCTGACATTCAGGGGCGTTGCTCATTGCTCCTGTCCCCAACCAGCCTTCCTCCTCCCGCCGTGGCAGGTGGGGAGCCGGTCTCCTGGAAACACCCCACCTGAGGATGGTGCTCTGTGCATGCCCCAGCCTCCTGGGCCTGCCCTTCCCTCTTCTTCAGGAGGATGTGTCTCTTCTGACCTGTGCTCACACCTGGCACCAGCATGAGGACAGGAAAGTGAAGGTTGTGGAGAGCAGAGGGGGCACTTTTTAACATTCCCTTTTTATTCCACCCCTCTGGTCTTCCATAAACGTGGAGATGAGCAGGCTTTGGCCTAGGGGACATGAAGTATTGGGGTGAGTGGCTCTGGCACATGTAGGTGGAAACAGGATGGCCTGGCCAGTCCCTTTGTCATCTTCATTCATACCCTGATGCATCACTCCTTCCTCAGGACTGCAGAAGGGACCTTGGATTTGTTTTATGTCTGTCTACAGAATAGCCCTGGCACTGAGTTCAAGTCCAGTCATCACTCAGCTGAGATGAAAATGCCAGTCATCCAGGCTGCCCACTGCGGACACCTGTCTGTAAGCCTGCAGAGGGGTCCAGATGTCTCCAGTGGCGCTGCCCCTTTCCGTCTCCTCCACGGTGGGCTAGCCAGACAAGTCAGGGGGTTGTGATGGAGAAAGGAAAAGTCAGAACCATGATGTCCTGATTCACCAGCAAGACAGCTATGTGCTACCTAGCAGTTTCCAGAACCCACACTAGGGGGAGTCCACCCAAGCCCCCTTTCCAATCTGCCCCACTTCCTTGCTTGAATTCTTGAGCCTGCCTGGAGAGTTGGGTGAGTGTAGGTGTGCGATAGGATATTTTTTAAAGACAAAAAAAGAAAAAAGAAAACCTCAGTTGGAAAAAATAATAATAATAAAATCATAGGGATTCTCCCACCCAAATACAAGTCCCAGTGAAAAGGGGCATCTGTTCTCCACCAGATTCCTAACACCTTCCATTACTCTTTCAATCTCCAAGCACTTTGAATCCATTTTTAAACATTCAGGTGGTGAGACCTGTCTTGCAGGTGGGCTCTGACAGACTTAGGGAGAGGACCTGGCTCTCAGACCCCCTGTCCAACCCCAGAGCCCACAGCTGGTTAGAGGCCACCTTCCAGGGGGTGTGGGAGATGTTCTCCTTAGACAGGTTTTGGTTGATTGTCTTTTTTTCTTAGATCAATCATATTACCGCTTCCACTTTCAGTGCCTTGAGCTTTGGTTGAACTGCTATGTGTGGGCAGCTGTGCAGGGAGCAAGTATTGTGAGCCCCAGACATGCTGTCAAGTGTTTCAGAGTTTAGGGGACAGGCAGGTGAGGGGACCTGGAAAGGAAGGGGGCCTGGTAAGAGGAAGGGCAGACCGGGTAAGGTGGTGCAGAGGGCACTGCATTCTGCCGAGGCCCGTGCTGCCACCGCCCCCCCACCCCACCCCCACACACACACCTGTGCACCCACACATTCCACATGGCCCATTTTAGACACCACCTGCTGACCAAAGAGAACCAGCACTCCAAAGAGAACCCGTACCCCTGCCTGGCCTCCCCTTTCCAACAAGCAGGGTCTGGAGTGCGCTCCTGACTCACTCAGCCCAGACAGGGTGGTCGGTCCTCCCGTGCAATGCCCAGAATGCGCAACGCCCTTTCTTGCAATCACCATTCATTATTCATGTTCGCTTTAATGAGTTACATGCTCATCAGCCACGGGCCATCACCGCCCTTGCGGATGGGTCTGTGGGGTGACATTCTCTGCCATCTCCCTGCTGATAGGAATCAGCTAATGCCCAGGAAGAAAGCGCCAGTGTCTGCATCCTCCATTTCAGCAGGGGCAAGCCAGGTGGACCGACCCTTCCTGAGAGATGATCCAGGCAGGCTCCCAGCCATATTTCACCCCCGGAAGCTGACACCTTTCTGCGCAGTCCTTTTATGTGAGCTCAGTAAGTCCAGTTCAGGACGTGGGTTCTCTGCAGACAAATTCATGAATACTTTGATTATTTTCACAGAAACCAGGAGCCATTGGTAATCCAAACAGTTAAACTCTAAAGATGGTGGTTCTTTAAACAGGAATATTTTTAAAAAAACAAAAAAAAAACTTCTTATTGTTTGAGGTTTGGCCAGATTCTCATATTTCCTCCTTTTTTTGGTGTAAGTGCTGGACCCATTCTGCTAAAATGATGCAGAGGTGGGGGCCCAAGGTCATTAGGTAACTCAGCTAACGCTGCAGGGATTGTTAGTGTCGTGAAGCCTGATACAGAGCTACTTCACTGTTCTCTGTTAGTTAACACATTAACTGGGGCCTCCTGGATACCAAGCAAGCGGTGCTGTGCAAGACATAGGGAGACATCAGCCACCAAGGCCATCTCTGTCCGCTGCAACTGGCACTCTGGTTTGATTCGAATCTGAATTGGGACCTGCCTATTAGGCCAAATGGAACCACTTTTCTGGGGAATGGGAAGGTACCCTTTGGCACAGAGCTTTGTTGTCTAAGCTAGAGGCCTCCAGTAGGGTGTCTCTACTTGATGTGGTCACCTTGGTGGTCCTGACCACCTTTGACTGTCTTATTTTGGTCAAGGGGCTAGGAGTCAGGAGACCTGGGACCCCATTCTGAAGCTGTCCTTTACTGAGTGACAGCCTAACCTCTTCATTATCCCTGACTTTCTGGTTTAAAATGAGAGAGAAGGGTTGCACAAACCTAGAATTGATCTGCTCTTCCTGTATTTATTTGGTGAGGTGGAGGCGTCTGGCCATCCTTTGCAAGGAGCTGGGAACTGTAAGCTGAGGGGTGGAGGAGTTGAAAGTTCTTTTGAAAGGAGCTTTCACCACTGGCTTCCTTATCTTGTCAGAAGTATTATGAATGAATTTTTATTAGGAACCCCTTGACCCCAAACAGCAACAAAAAGCATACCCTAAAACTTCAGTAAAATGGATGTGGGGTTATCCTTTGGCCATTGGATAACTGTACTCCCCACTTAGAATTCTGACAGTTTTGCAAAGGTGTCTTTGGCCAGTGCAGGGCATAGTAACTCCTTCACTGTGTATCCAGGTTTCAGCCAACTTCCTCTGTGGGGAGAAATGGGTGTAACCACCGGCCACCCAAGTCTTCAGGAGCATTTTCCTGGCCCAGGGATCACTTACAAGGTGAAGACTGCAGACTAAGGTGTCTTGAGCCAGAGGGCAAGGTGTGAGTGCAGCTGACCCCTTTGCGAAGGAGCAAGTAGGAAAGGCAGCTGGTAGAGGGAAGATTGTCCCCTGCAGTTCTGACATAAATTCTGGATCTTGAAGAGGGTCTTGTGATTCTGGGTGAGCCATTGTTTATTTCTTTGAAGTGCACATTCCCAGGGATGTAATTGAAAAGGCATTTATTTTTTTGAAGAGGCTATAAAATGATCATTTAAATATGTCATTCCCTTCTCTCTCCTCCTCTCCGGGAGGCCAACCTCTTTCTAAAAGTCCTCACCTTTATCAGCTTGGTCCTGAGGTCCACTTCTGGACTGGTAGAGAGGACAGAAAGATGTGTGGCTTGGGAGATGGTGGGAAGGGCAGAATTCCATTTTCTTGCATCACTGTGAGGGAACTCCAGGCCCTGTTCCTGGAGAAATATTTGCTGCGCAGAAGTCACAGGCCATACTGGACAGTTCTGGTACGAGCCAGCCCTTAATAATAATAACTCCATTTGTATATAGATTTCACTCATTCCTACCAGTCTTCTGCTCCCACTGCTGGCTTTCTGATGGTCCCAACCAGTGGCCTTGTCAAGTGTTGGTGGGCCATGTGCTCGTCTGTTAGCTTCTGGAGATCTTCAGATGTTGCCTCTGGGAACACCCCTAACTCTGGGGAGAGAGCTACCAAGCTGCCAAAACAATCAAAATCTCCACACAATCTTGTTAGCAATAGTGACCCGCAAGATTGGGCTGTCTCCAATTTCACCAGAAAGAGGACTCCCTGTGGTCACATTTTCTACCCCAACCGTTCTAGAGATTACAAACTCCATTTCTGGCTCCAATTGAATTTTCTCCACCCAAACCCGAATAATGAATGGACCCATGATGGTAATTAAGAGAAGAGAGAAAAATATTTTTGTTAGGACAAACCATCGTAGATTTTTAGCAATGTGTATCTGTGTGTCCTTCACAACTTTTCCTATTCTGCCTTTTTTCATTTTTTTTTAAATATTATGTACTATATTTTTAGTCTCAAACACACTATATATTATATATATTTAATTTTTATATATATAAATATAAATGTTCTAAAAAGTACCATGTTTCGTGTTATTAATGCATGAGCAGCTCTAGTTACTTAAAAGCTTGCCTGATTTGGGGTGAAATGGCTCAAATTTGGGGGAAAAGATAGGAGATTTTAGGATTGAGATTGTAAACACTATTTGTGTCACTCCCAGGCCACGGGGCAAGCACATTTTTTTCACCGTTTTGTGACTTGCAGAACCCTGAGGCCAATTATGGCAGTTCAGGGACAAACAGCTCAAGGATCTGTGCTTTGGGAACACAGCATCAAATGTTCTGTGCCAAATCTGATTATGGGGATTGGTAAGGGGGAGACTGAATGTGAAATCTAGATCCCAAAGGATTTGGGAGTAGGAGAAGAAGCAGGATTAGTTTCGTTTATTAAAATGCAGTGGTTTGGGTAAAAAGCAAAGCTACTAGGTCTCAATCTTTTGAACTTGTAGTGAAGCAAAATGAAAAAAAGATGTATACACGCAGAGGCCATTCTGCTGAAAAATTCTAAATTCTCTTAGTTTAGTAGAGTTTGCAAATTTATCTTTGTTCATTTCACAGAAGAGGATAATTTAAAAATATATTTTTCAAATGTTTTTGAAAGCTATAAATCAGAGAAATACAAGGATTTCTCATTTTCCTCATCCATTTAACAACCAACCAAACTAAAAATGGTCCACAGTAGCCTTTTTGTACACAAGGGACATAGGACACAGTCAGAGACAGAGATAGGGATGTAAGAGTTGAAAAAACACTTTAAAGTTAATGCAACCCACTTCCAAGAAGGTTGGGGGTCATAGCCCAGAACTACCACTGAGGAAGGGGCAGGGAACAGTGGGGGCTACAGATTGTGTCCAGGACCAAGAGCTGGTAGGTCTCCCAAGGCAAGTCCAACCAGGATGGGAATGAGAGGCCCAGGTGCAGGGTGAATCTTGAAGATACAGCAAGGTAAGTTGAAATGGCACAGGTAAAACGTGGCATGATAGTTGGAATCCAGGAGCAAACAGAATAAAGTGAAACAAAAAATTGAGAAGAAATAAATTTGTGCAAACATGGAGGCCCAAGTGAATTCTGTTAGGCCAAGTACTATTAGGTGGGGTACTTCCTGTACTGTATTCACTTGGGATGCATTTTATTCCTCACTGCATCCCCAGAGCAGCACAGGACCAGGAGGTACCTTGGGACAAGTCTATGAGCTATATAGGGTACCACACGAGGTTCTAAGGGACCAAACCCACTCTCTAGGCACAAGACAGGCTGCAGGAGCTTGTATCCTGTATCCAGCCTCTTCCTGAGCCAGGGCCCAACCCCTCCCTTATGTCACCCTCAGACTGAGAATAAGTACCGTATTTCCCCATGTATAAGACGTACTCTTTTTTGAAAAATTTGGGGTCTAAAACCTGGGTGCATCTTATACAGTGGTTGTAGATCGTTGTCAAATCATTTAAGAAGTGTGGCATTTCAAATGCCATAGATGGAACTGAGGAGGAGGCAATATATGAAGACTAGTGAGTGATTTGTCATCAGACACAGAGGAGGACAAGCTAATGGTTGAGAATTTTGACAGTGATGAGGAGTTGTATGAATTTTATGATGAATAAAACTTGAGTTCAATAACTTTATGTAATACTTTTTTTTTTCAAATTTCGGGCCCCAAAATTAAGGTGCGTCTTATACATGGGAGCGTCTTATACATGGGGAAATACGGTAATAACACCAACAGCCCCTTTACCACCAAGCTTTGTAGAATTTTAAAAGCCACTCCTTTCTTGTGCATTTGTCTGCCTCACAGCAGGAGCTCCTGTCCCAATCACACACGTGCTCCTGTCTGCACTCTCCCACCAAAGTGTGAAAGCTCAAAGTCCCCAGGACACATTAGTTCCCAAAAGATCTCATCATTCAACCCCCCTTTCACCTACCCAACATCTCAACAGAATCAAATGGAATTGTGCTTTGTCTGGTGTACACCCTCGCACCTTCCTGCCCCTCTGTGCTTTTGTCCACGCTCTTCTCTCAGCCTGGAATGCCCGTGTCCCTTGACCTCATTTCCAAATTTTTCTTACCTTCCTCCAAGGCCATCTCCTCCAGGGAGCCTTGCCTGACTCATCTGCTCACTGTTTCTCTCTCCTGCGAAGTCCCAGGATAGATGGGCTGTATCTCGCTGACCTCACTTATAACTGTCTGCTTTGATTGCATCACAGGTTTCTGTGTATGACACATTAGTACTTCCCTTCTAAAATCAGGGCACTTAAAGGCAGAGATCGTGTGTCATTTATTTTAGTATCCTCATCACTCCTAACAGAGTGTCTGACATATAGTTGCTCAATCTATGTGCTGGAGGAATGCAGAGATGGAGGGAGGGAAAGGGAAGGAAAACAAATCCATAAATGCAATGCATAAAGGGAATTTAGCCTAGAGGAATTACATGCTTCATGAAGTGGTATAGCATGGTGATTAAAAGCATGGACTCAAGTCAGTCTGCCGAGCTGATCAACAACACCAGTAATCGCTCATATTGGTTTCTCTCTTTCTGAGTCCCCTGGCTATTAGGCAAGGCTTACCTGACTAGTTTTGGCCAATGGACTATACACAGAACTGACATGTCTACCAGACCAAAGCATTTAATTGCCAGGGTGAGACCCTTCGAGCTCTTTGCCATAGCGACAGGAGCTCATTTATTCCAGATGGTGCAGCTTCATAATATGGAGCCCCTCTCTGCCTGGGTCCCTGAGTGACAATGTGAAGCAGAGCCCCTCTGCCAACTCATGATGAGCATGTAATTTGAGAAAGAAATGATTTTTTGTTTTGTTAAAATACTGGAATTTTGAAGCTGTTTCTTACTGCAATAGAGTATATCCTATTTTGATTAATACAGAGCTTCACCATTTGCTCCTGCTTGACCTTGGGTAAGTTATTTTACCTCTCTGCATCTCACTTTTCTCCTCTGTGAAATGGACTAATAATAGCTCCTATCACATTAAAATGCTTAGCAGAGTTCCTAGCACCTGAGTACACAGTACATATTAGCTTTTGTTAACCTGGAGAAAGGTGGCCGTGGCATCCCCCCTTCCCCTTTGCCTCTTTCTTGAAAGATGTCAACAATTGCCCAGGGGTTATGAAAAGAGCATGAAATCTTCAATGAGAAGATTTAGGTTAAAATTCCAGCAGTGCCTCCTGGAACTCCTGATGCAGGGCAACTCAGCACACCTTTCCGAGCTACCTTTTCTGATCTGTAAAATGTTGAGAGCACTCAAGCGCTCTTTGTAAATTGCTAAATGCTATTTAAACCTGAGTTAATTACTTTGGTCTATTAATACTGTACTACCCCACCCCCACTCCATCCCCACCACGCAGCATCCCACTCCACACAACTCATTGCCACAAACATACCCCGACCCCTACACACGCCCACTATAAGCTGGCAGCTCTAGCAGTGACCTAATATTAGAAGAATGTGCCCATCCAGCTGGGCACAATAGAGCCCATCTTGCCAGTCCCCAGTGTTCTAAAACCAAAAGACCAGCTCTTTGCAAAGCAGGACCCTGGGGGAGAAGAAAGATCACTTCATGGACACTCACTTTCCCATTTCCTTTATTCATTGTAATTAGCTACACAGAGGCAACCTCCCAGGGAGAGCAGAGCCATCAACTCCTAGAACTGAACGAGGAGCTTTGTCTTTTTTTCCTCTCCACATAATACTGCTCTCTTGGTGGTCGCTATGCAAATACATCCTGCATTCATTTGCAAGCTAGGGAATCTTTCATATTTGGAGGCTCAGATTAATGTTCCGCCTCCCCCAAAGAGACACTGGTTTGGAACTTTAACATGTAAATACTCCTGGTCTGGCCCCCTAGTTGTGCTGTAGCCCGGGGAATGACCAAAACCTAGTCTTCTCAGAGCCCTCACTAAAATAGATGCTTAACTGTGGATAATACAATCTTTAAAACTGAAGGCACCTCTGGGGCCACCTGGTCCAACTATGGAAACAATGTGAGAGCCCCTCTTCAGCGTCAGAAACAAATGGGCTCTGTCTGCATCAAGACCATCAGGGGACCAGAAAGTAGGTGGCTTTTTATGGAGTGTGGACTTGGGACCCTGAATATTTGGGCTTCCCTCCAGCTTCTCCATGCACTAGCTCTGTGCCTTTGGAAAAATCATTTGACCTCTCTGGGCCTTGGTTTCCTCATTGATAAAATCATTCCTTCATTCATGCAAAAAATATTTATTGAACATTGACCATGTGTCTGGTACTATTCCACACCCTGGGATACAGCAAGAAGCAACATCAAGTCCCTGCTGTCATGGCACTTAGACTACAGTGGTGGGAGAGACAAGAAACAAATAAATGTATGTCAGATAGCGGTAAGTTCTCTGGAGAGACACAGGGCAGTGTAAGGTACATGACGGGCGGGGATGTGCTATTTTATGTTGGGCGGTCAGAGAAAGCCTCTCAGATAAGAGGACAGAGAAGTTTGGGGAAAGAATATTCTAGGCAGAGGGAACAAGTGCAAACACCCTGAGGCAGAAATGAGTTTACAGGGTTGTGGACCAGCAAGAAGTCTGGCTGCAGAGAGGAATGAGAGGTGGTAGGAAATCTTGTTAGAGAGGTGGGATAGAAATCCTGTGAGGATTTGTAGGCCATTAAAAGGACTTTGGAA